TCAACAGTGGGAGGGCTTCTAATGTCCTGGCCCCACTGCTGGACCTCCTGATGGCACCTGGTATTTCTGGCCGCTGTGTGACACAGAGTGTTGGACTGGATGGGCCTTTGGCCTGATCCAACATTGGCGTCTCTTATGTTCTCTTATGACTCTTGAAAGCTCATTCCTTCCCCCCCCCAAAAAAAAAAAAATGTTGGTGGTCTTGAAGGTGCTCCAGACTCGAATCTAACTGGAGACCAGTGTTCCCTCTAAGCTGAGTTAATGTGAGCTAGCTCACAGTTTTGTAGCCTCCAGCTCACACATTTTTGTCTTTCCTCAGGAAGGGAGGGCTCCAGAGCAAACTAATTTATGCAGAAGCCAAATCACCTGCTCACAACTTTAATGCCAGTAGCTCACAAAGTAGAATTTTTGCTCACAAGACTCCACAGCTTAGAGGGGGCATTGCTGGAGACCAACATGGCTACCCTCTGAAAGGACCTCACAGGGTTGTTGTGGGGATTAAAAGGGGGGGGCAGGAGAAAGATGCACACCCCACTTTGGGTCCCCAGGAACGTTACTGTTTATTATGCCATCGGTTGCTTTATTGATTTAACCGCTTTAATGGTTTTATGAATCTTGTGGTGTACGCTTGCCCTCAGCCCACTGGTGGGATAGGGCGGGGATGTAAATGTGAAAGAATAAAAGAATAACAAAGAAATTGCAAGGACGGCTCTTAGGCTCCCAAGGAGGCCACAAAAGCATCGTTGGTCTTTGGGGTGCCTCCACACCAGGGGTGGCCAAACTGCAACTCAGGAGCCACGCCTCCCGGATCAGTCTTCCCTTCCCCAGCCGGTATTCCCCTCCCTGGGTAGGCTTCGGATGGAAAGAAAGCAACTTTAACTTTAAATGTGTTTTTAAATACCACCCCTCCCTTCACCGGCCGGCTTGGAGAAGGCATTTGTCTCTTTTAAATCCCTTCTGCAAGCCAAGCCAGCGGGGCATGGGGGTCTTGGAAGATGCATTTAAAGTTGCTTTCTTTCCACCTCTCCCTCCCTCCCATCTATTTACTTTTCCTTTTCTTTCTTTCTTTCTCCCTCTCTCCCCTCCCTCCCCATCTAAAGTTAAATACCATTATCAATAACTGCTTCCATCCCTTTTGTTTTCATTTATGGCAGTCTCATGTAGCGTTGGTGCTGCGGTGGCTCAAGTAGTTAAGACGCTGGACTGCAGGCTGTGGAAGGTCGGTAGTTCAGCAGTTTGAGACCCGAGTGTGCCACGTGACGGAGTGAGCTCCCGTCTCTAGTTCCAGCTCCTGCCAACCGAGCAGTTCGAAAGCAAGAAATTGCAAGTAGATAAATAGGGACCACTTCAGTGGGAAGGTAACAGCGTTCCGTGCGCCTCGGTGTTTAGTCATGCCGGCCACATGACCATGGAAACGTCTTCGGACAGTGCTGGCTCATCGGCTTGGAAACGGAGATGAGCACTGCATCCCTAGAGTCAGATTCGACTGGCTTTCAAGCCAGGGAAACCTTTACTTTTACATGTAGCCTTAATGAAAAAGAAGTCTGCATATTTTTAAAAAAACAAAACCGTGTGGGTTATATATCTTCTCATGCCGTGCGGCTCTCCAATTTCTGACGTTTATCCTGAGTGGCTCTTCCCTTCAGCGAGCCGGGCCAGTGTTCCCTCTAAGCCGAGAGAGTGTGAGCCAGCTCGCAGTTTTCTAGCCTCGGGCTCCCCCCTTGTGGCCTTGGGTCGGGAAGGAGGGGCTCCAGAGCCAACCACTTTTGTGCAGGAGCCCAACCGCTCGCTCACCACTTTCACGCCGGGAGCTCAGCAGGTAGGATTTTTGCCCACGAGACGACGCCAGAGCTTAGGGGGAGCACTTCCTCCAGGCCCCCCCCTTCCCCTCCCGAGGCCGGCGGGATGCACGGCTCCCCCC